GGGATTAGAAATATTATTACATTATACATGCATAAATCAATTAATCAATAATAATAATATTAGAAATTTGAAAAATTAACAGAAATCTAATAACAATAATAATTCAATTAGTTGTTTCTCTCGTCCAAAAATAAAATTATTAATAAAAAGTTATCTTAGGGACTTTGGACATTCAAAAGAACTAGAACTTCGTTTTGATAAGTTGGACGTTTCGTCCCTTTATTGGGACTTCTTCAGCAACTTAATCTCTAAAGTTTAGCGTCTTTTTTATATAAACTGACATACATTTTTCTTTTTATTTATAATATTCAAAACACTATACATCTACACTTCGTTAAGTCTTGATCCGTTATATGTGAACATTCAACTTATCAAAACGAAATTCTATTTCTTTTCAATGTCCACATTCCCTAAGATACCTTTTTATTAACAATAATAATAATTATACATACACGAACAATTGATAACGAATATCAGATCATATACTTTACCATGAAACATTATTTTTACTTTATTTTATCCACCATAGAACAAAACACTATATATTTTCTATTAATAATAATAACAATATAATATTCATATATATAATATAATAATAATTAAATCAAATATTTGGAATTTTTGGACAAAAGTACACGTATATTTTGGTAACGATCTAGTTTACCGATAATACAGACACTGGAATACTCCATGAACGTCCGGTTGACAGATGAATCATCGACGCCTTGGACAAGAGGGGTGCTCGACGATTGACTTCGATTCGATTCGAAGTTGGTATACAGGGAGAATGTAGGAGACTTTAAGTGGGTGGAGGGGGAAGGGGGAGGAGGGGGTAAAGAGGAAGAAGAGGCGTTTGCACGCTCTATAAACGATTAAATGCACGGTAGCTCTTCACGTCCCGCGTGTCGAGTGACGTTTCTCTCAACAAACTCACACGTGCGACGTTTTCACTAAAGAATATAATGCACGTCTGCTTTATGTACACACATATAGTTGTACATATATATATATATCTGTATGTATATATGTATGTATGTATTTGTATGGATAACCATATACATGTATTGTAGGTATATATACTCTTCTATATATACACATTTTATATAGGTATGCATATATGTATTTGTATGGATAACTACATATATGTATTGTTGGTATATACTCTTCTATATATAGACATTTCATTACACACGGTTCATTAGTAATCATATCGATAGGGAACTTAAACATCAAGAATAGTTTTAAATCGTTTGATCAGAATTTGATACAAAATATGTAAAAATAATAAGTTGTTTTACTTTAGTATTAAAATACGAAACAATTTTGTGTTCAAAGCAATATAAAGGGTGTTCTGTAACACTGGGTGGGTACATACGAATAACAGATGATTCTTCGCGAGAAATTATAATCGAAAATGTTGTATAAAATTTTGTTCTTATTAATCTCTTCTTTTTTTATTATTATTATTATTATCGTAAGAAATATGTTTCCAAATTTTGTCAAATATTTGTGAAGTTTGAAAAAGTTATGAAAAAGTGTATAATGTAGAATAATAAAAGAATGAAAGAATGAAATGAGAATACAAAATCGTGATCACTGAACACACCACATCGTTTTATTGTTCACAAGGATGAACACGTTAAGTCCTGGGAAAGCAACGAGCTTGATGACGATGACGATGACGATGACGATGACAATAATGAAGACGATATAGCTTCGTGATACGTATACACGATGACAGCGGGGAAGAATGATGAGAGGGTGGATTTCTTATTGGCTACGGGTGAACGAACACGCTCTGAAATTTATATTCGTACTTTGAAATAGATCTGGGAGTCACTGAAAGATGTTCTGTTTCTTCTTGCTTTCTTATTGCCTACTGATTCATTCGTATGTTTTTGGTTTCTTTTTTTTTTATCCTGCTTTTATTCTTTTACGAATGTCTCTAAACACACACGTCGCGCGCAACATTTTTTTCTTTCTTTATATTTATAACAAAAAATAAAGGATTGGAAAATATAAAGGATGAATGAATTTCATCTCTTGATTTTGATTATTTTTAAAAAATATTTTGTTGTATTCAAGAAATTGGTTAAAGATTACTTGCAATTCATTTTATTTGTCAACGAAATATCTATTTAATTTAAACAATATTTATATTAACAATCTATCGTTTAACATTTGTAGATATGTGTGGTGTCATACATTATGTACCATTTAATGGTAAAACAGTGAATTACAAACATATTATCTATAGTAGGTAACATTTATTGATAGAAAAATATAAAATAATTAAAATGGGCTCTTTTCTATTTGTTTTAATAAATATGTTAGGCACTTCGAAGCTCGAAAACTTTCAATTTCAATATTAAAATAATTAAATTATATATACTCCCGAATCTTACCATAGAAACGCTAGCAAAGAACCTTAATAGTAAAGTTGGTATACCGGCAGGGGATATATTTAAAGTTAATTTCCAAAGTAACAACCAATAAGATAGTGAAAAGAAATAAATTAATCGTTCATAATGTATATAAACAATAAGTAAATATTTTCATTTTTTCATTTTTTTCTGCTGTTGCAGTTCTATGTCAACTTTTTTTGTGGAGAAATATATAGAAATTCACAAATTCCCTTTTTTATCTACCCAGCATCATTTTTGTTACCACTGGGACCACCATTGGATGATAGTATGTACTTAACGCGATAACGGTACAATACTATCAAAGAATACAATATTCTTTGATAATATATATATAGTATAGTTATATTGTAAGAAAATTTAAAATAATTATATTTAATTTTTAGTGTTTAGTGTGGAATCATGATTGATCTTATAATATTATGGGTCATGTGCACCAATACTATTTAGTATTTAATTGTTTAAGTTAATCTATATATATATATATAAATTAAATAAATGTTTTAGATGATGTTAACATTTTGTACAAAATTCCCATTATTTTTATTTCTGAACAAAGTCTAATAATATACACACACACGCACACGCGAATACAGGAATATAATTAGAATAAAAAAAAGAACACAATATAACAATAATTATTAATTATTCATATAAAAGAAAAAAAAAATGAGATAATTGTACAATAAGTTATAAGAAACAATTTAATACATACATATATACACACCGCTTAAGTTATACAAATTGATCTTACGTAGAGAAACTTTAGAAATAATTTCAATTATAATTTTTTGTTCGTATCACAATTAGCAAATAGGATCGTTCGAATGTGTTCAAAGCGTAGATGAACAATGCGATAATATTCGAATAAATAGAATATTATTAAATATCAAATCAACAATTACATTGTTACAAAGCTAATGATTCGGTTAGAAATTATTTTTAATAATCGGATCAAAGACTATCAAACTTTTTCATGAAAAAATTAAATAAAATTGAATGTAACGTTCGATGTACGTAAACGTAAAATCCTGAGATATTTACATTCGTACTAATATTATAATAAAAAAAATGAAAAAGATAATAAGAATAAATTGTGACAATACGTAGAAAAAAAAAACAAAGCTAATAATCATCTGATTTCGTTTAAAGTTTTTCACCACTGAGATTAAGTACATTGTAATAAGAATGATCAGGAAACCTGTCTAATTCAATGTAATCGGTTTCATCGAGTAATAGTCCTTCTGCCAAACTAACAAGTTCAGTAAAGGATGGCCTACATGCTGGATCCTTGTCCCAACAATAATACATAATATTATACAATTCACGTTTGCAGTGTTCGGGTCTATCCAATCTGTATCCTTCTTTGATTCTCCTCATTACCTAAAAAAGAATAATAATAGATGAAACACGGAGATCTAATAAAACTATTACAATAACTAAAACAAACAAAAAAGAAAACATTATTACCTCAGCTGCTGCTAATCCAGGATATGGTGTAGACCCTAATGTTACAATTTCCCAAATGAGAACACCAAAGCTCCATATATCTGATTTAACGGAAAATATATTATCGTACAAGCTTTCAGGAGCCATCCATCTGATCGGTAATCTTCCTTCCGATTTTCTTTCATAAATCTCATTGGCAGCCATGTCTCTTGCGAAACCAAAATCGGCAACTTTGCAGGCACGATTCTCGTCTATTAAAACATTACGAGCTGCTAAATCTCTGTGAATTATACCCTTCGAGGTCAAGTGTTCCATTCCTTTAGCGATCTAAATAAAATAGAAAAACAACAAAAATCGTAAATAATTGATATTTTAAACATAATCGTATTATTTTAATGTTGCAACGTTGGAAATTTGGCAAAAACCCAAATATAGGTAATATTAAAAATAATTTTCGATAAGAATTTCATTACCACCACCACAATAATAAAACGTAACAATATTAAATTTTTAACGTAATCATAACAATTTACTTGATAAACAAATCCAGTAAGATCTCTCGAAGTTAAGCCAGGTCTTCCATGATTTCTTTCTTCTCTCGATGCTCGAAGAAAACTTTGTAATTTTCCACCACTCACATATTCGAGAATAACGAACATGGGTTCCCTTTCTGTACAACATCCAAGTAATCTGACGACGTTAGGATGAGGTTCCAAACTCTTCATTACTCTTAATTCTTGTGCCAGATCTAATCGTTCTCTTTCAGTTGCATTTTCTTTCAATGTTTTTACTGCTACAACGGTGGCACCAGCTTTACCATCGATGTCTAAAGCTTCGCATTTCCAAACTTGACCGAAACATCCTTCTCCAAGGATATTGAAAACCTAATTGAATAATTCAATCAATTATTAGCTTTGTTTAATCGATTTAATGAACTCAACGTGCCACTTTGAAAATTGTAATTTTGTATTTTTCTGTATGAATATATTTTGTGATATAATAAGGTAATAAAAATTCTTATTAATAATAGTTAAAGCATACAAAATATTTGCACATTTTATTTTATGAAAATCATTCGATGAAATTCTATAGAATTTCTATAATAGAAAGAATTGAAATCCTTAAAGCCTTGGAAATGATTAAACAGAGAAATAAAATGGTACATTAGGTTCAAGACAATTGATGAACGGTGTTAAACAAGAACTAATGTTAGATAGATAAATTATCTGTTATCTACCTTCAATCTATGTCTGGGAAACTCCCACTTGTCGTCCTGCTTGTTCAGAATACCACCTTGATTTTCCTTCTCCCACGCCTCGTATCTATTATTGTGAGCCTTCGGGCCTCTCCAACGTTTCAAAACAAGTGATGGATCGTCGGATATATTCGACACGCTCACTGAAGCCTGTTCTTTCTGTAAATAATGCAAAATTTAACATCTATTTTATAATACAACGGGATTTGAGAAAATAATCGTGAGAAAACGCGATTTTTTTGTTGTTATATTGTGTCTCTATTGTATTATATATTATTTATTTAGTATTAGTAAAAAGTAGTTAAGGTTGTAATGTAATTTTTTGTAAAAGTATAATGGATGCATCAGAGAATTGGGAATCTACGAATAAAAAGATACAAAGATTTTGTAATACGTCTATAAAATATTATACAAGAAATTAAATCTGTAGTAATGGTTATAATGATGTATATATATATATATTAATTATAATGCAATAGGGGATTTTGATCACGAGGATAATAGTAATTTTTTGTTCAAAATTATAAATATATATCAGTATTGGTGTGTATAATAATGCAATTATATATAAGAAAATTACTATCTACGAATAAAATGATGTAATGGTTTTACAATGTGTCTATAAATTGTTACATGTATAGTATATAATGTGGTATATAATGCGCATAGTGATTGTTAAAAAGAATAGTAATTTTTTCTGATTCATGTAGAAATTATGCAATTATCAATGATTCACACTTATTACATAGGAATAAAATGAATCAATGATTTATCTGTACCTTTACACAACTTTTATATATATATCAGTATAACACGAATTATATACATTTCTAATAAATCATAAAACAAAAAGATATTGTAATATGATTAAACTTGACCAGAATAAAAAAAATAAAACCTCATATATATATATATATATATTTGATATTTAATCGAATATGAAATTACAAGGAGTATCAAATTTACCGTATCTTCCTTGGACTTTTTGTTAGCACACATTTTGCTCCTGCAAGACCAGGCACTAACACCAAGGCCAAGAACAAGAGCAAAAACCGCCCCGATCGGTATCAAAGTCATCACGATCTCGTTTGAAGGTAATGCTTCCTTTGGCGCAACCTTGGAACTTAACGTAGCTACTTCGATTTCATTACTATCGATAAAATCCTGCGACAACTTAGGTGACTTTAATGGATTTTCTTCTCTAGTAGATTTGCTACCTTCCGAAAGTTGTAATTTCGTTGTTTTCGAGCCGGTCGTTGAAGTAGATGGTGAATTAATTGATGCTTGTTGATGAGGTATCGATGGTCTTGGGTATGGTGGTAAATTATGAATCGGTATTATCGGTGGCCTGATTCGTCCACCCGAGCCATGTTGATTTGGAAACGGTGTCCTGGTAAAGAATACAAACAAAAACAAAATAAATAAATCATATATATATATATATGAAGTAATTCCTGATTGAAAATTTAAAGGGACCACTTTTTTTCGTGGATTTCACGATGAACGATAATGAATAATGTAACAGTGTGGATTCTTCGTGATTTATCGAGAAAGTCTCAAGAACATGTTTGCCGTTGATCGACCCTCTTCCATGTACACTGTGATCGTTTTAAAACAAAAAAAAAAAAACACGACGAAAGTATATAGGATAAAAACTTGAGGGGGACTCGTTGTTCGGTATCAATTTTGAACGAATCGTGTTCCCATCGATATTATGATATAATCGTAATAAAAAATAAAAAGTAATCATTTGTTTTTATTCCCTTAGATTTATTTATTTGTTTTATTCGTGTAAATGAAGAGTAATAATGTGTTTACCAGGTGTGCCCACCGCTAGGTGCCGATGTACTTCTAATATTAACGTAAACCTCGGCCTTTGCCGTGAGTTGACCGTCGGAAACGGTCACGTAAAGGAACAGGTTCTGTCCTCCCTGGAAAGAAGAAACAAGAAGTTCAATCTTGGTATCTCTCTCTCTCTCTCTCTCTCGACATCAGGACCATACGTGGCTCGTGTTACGTTTTCAATGCTCGCAAAACAAACGTTCAAGTTATCTATGTCGATGTTCTCTTACGATACTTTTTTGTATGCGAATTGTCTGTGTATGTGTGTGTGTTTGTATGCATGCATGGATGCATGTGTGTATTATTTGTTGCTTTGATGGTACATGAGTTCGTGTTATCGACCGAGTGTAGCATTTATTCTACGCTTGTTCTTCGAAGACGATCTTGACCTTTTAACAAGCTAACTATGTCTGAGTTGTTGAAGATGTATGTTTGTTACATTGTGATTACCATTTGTTATTGTTTGTATTTTAATAATTATTATATCTGTGCAATAGTAATTTTTTGAAAACGTGGACACACGAAAGTAGTTTTTTTTTTTTAATATAGAATATATTGTTATTATAAGTAACGTAGGATTTTAATTAAAATGATTTGATTGATCACGAAAAATGGTATTGAAATATTTTACTCTTTTAATAAATAAAATATAATGAAAATAGAATAAAATTTGTAACTTTAAATTTGTGGCAAATTATTTAAAAAGAATTTTTTCCTATACGACCTAACAAATAATTTTGATAAAAAGATAACAAATAATATTGTTAAAATAAATACTTATAGAAAATATTTGTATGCTGATGAAAATTTAATTATGTTACTTGAAAATAATTAACACGACGTTATAGAAAATTAATTATTGTTAATATTTGGCAAAGACAATTATTGATTATTTGTTGAATTTTTACTTGTGCGTGTATGAATTAGGGCAAAAGATTGTAGACTTACTCTTCCTTTGAGAGTTTCATTAAGAAAAACAGTGCCAGTACTATTGTCTATGTAAAATGGCAATGGTGGTTGAGGACTATCGTCGCCATTGTAACTATGTCCAAGTGGTTCGAGTCCATAGGTCAATTCGTCCTGTTCATTGTCCTCGGCACGTACTCTCGTCACAATACTACCTACAGGTTCCGAATCAGGAAGAACCCAATTTCTTTCCAAATACATAAAGGGTGGTGTATTGTCGCTCAATTGACAACCTGTAAAAAAATAATCATAATTGTATTACCTATCAGATTATATTATAAAATAATGTATTATACATTATCTAATCATTCGTTGTATTCAACAATTTGTATAACGTTTGAACGAAAGAATAGAAATTAAAAATATTAATTATAATAATATATTATGAACAAATAAATTGATTATTTTAAAAAGTATTCAATTTATACGATATGATAATGATAATATTGATATTATATGACAGTGATTTATTTATTAAATTAATACTTTTCTTTTTGTATTTATTTTAAATTTATATATTAATACGAATAAAAATTTACACGTAATATTT